CCGATGACCTAAGTTAGTGGTCCAGCAACAGCAGCATTGTCTAGGAACTGGTTAAAGATGCAGACACTCTGGCCTCACACCAGACCTGATGAAATACCATCTGCATTTTTATCATGAGCCCCCAGATGACTTAGTCGCACACAAAAATTTGAGAAAACTTCTTGTCAGTTGTTAAAGAATCTTAATCCTTTCCATATTTTCCCAGCTTTGGACTTACTTCAAGCTACTTCCCATTTCTCCCACACATCCATATACCCCAATTTTTAATTCTGGATGATTCATTTTTTTTTTTTTTTTTTGGTGCTTACCTCCACAAGGAAAAACACACAGATTCTAAATAGGTAACTCACAGACTTTATTCACAAGTATCTCTCTTTTAACCAAAAGAAACTTTTCATTCTTATGATTAATGTCTTCAAACAATTTGCTGAGAGACCTGAGTCAACCACGTACTTCCTTTAAAGCTGCAAATGAAGGAAAGCGGTGTGGGTCATTATCCATAGCAAGAATAAGGGTATTCATTACCATTCACTATCTTACATACTTGTTTCAAACTCTTGCTTTGGCCTCTCAAGGATTATGCTTAAATAAAAAGCAGTCATTCCATTCAGAAAACAAACAAACAAACAAACATAATTTGTCATGTCTAAGAAAAAATGTTATTACAAAAAGCAGTGGCAGAAGCTCCCAGAATTGCAAAGTCACTGCTGATGCAGCTATAATTACCCTGGAACCACTTGGGAACATGCAAATGTATAACCAGAGTAACATGAGTATTATTGTTTATTTTACTTTTATTATCTAAATAGTCATGGCCCAAACTAGGTGGGTTGCTAGCATTCTGCTTTCTCCTGGCATGAGACTGGGAAAGAGAATACAATGGCAACAAAGAAAAGCAGCCAAGAATTTAGTGAATAATGCTGCGAAAGTCAGATATCCTTTCTATTTTCCAGTTGTTCCAACTCCTATCATCAAGTTTCTAGGGACAGTCAATGTGCCTGATGCTGGAGAGAAATCATTCAGGTAAGCTGAGGCTACTCCTTCTGTTTCTCCATCTGCTAAACTGTTAACACGAAGACATATTGACAAGGGCTCAAGGAAAACATGGAATATTTCATCAGTAAGATTATGCTGCCCTAGAGACAGATGTTAGAAAGCTGTATTATTTAAAAATAAAGAGCTAAACACATGCTTGAGAGGAAAGAATAAGATAGTTTTAGAATTGAGGGAGAAAATTAAAAAGAAAAAAACAAAGATGGAGAGATAAACGAGAGGTTTTATATTAGCATGAGAAATGGAAAATCCTTCTTATACAGGAAAAAGAAACTTATCTCCCTCAGGCAATCATTTATCATTAGGTAGGCATTCTTACAGTCTACTGGGGTAGATTTGTAAGAAGTGTTTAGCAGAACTATGATTACAGAAAACAGACTCATCTCTTGTCATCAGATGGTTAATGTCAGGGCTTTGACTTGAATCCACATGCACTAGTTTCCGTAAAAATCTAAACAAAAAATGTCATGTACTTTGGCAACTCAATTAAATGAACATAAAAACATTAAGTAATGATAACTGGATTTATCTAGTGACTTTCACTACAAAAGTCAAAGTACTGTGTCTTCACTTATTTTTGCAGTTATATAAACATTTACAATATACAATTGGCATACAGTTGCCATACATTAAGTCACCACTTAACCATTTTAAACAGTAGATCCTCCTTTTTGCTAAAGTTTTAACATTTTCATAAATAAAATTCAAAGAGTAGCAATAACAAAGTAGAAAAAACTTTGGTTTTGAAATTAAAGCAGACTTAGGTTCTGATCCTGTATATTTACTTTGCTTCTTTGAGCTTCAGTTTCCTAATCTGTAAAACAGAGATAGTAATACCTACCTTAAGGGGTTGCTGAGGAGATTAATATATTATTAATAAAGGTCCTAGCACTCACTGTGCATGAACATTCCATGTACTCAATGAATGGCAAGTTACATCATTACACAAAAAGTAAATAAACAAATTTATACAAACAAGCAGATTAGAGATTCCAGTTTAACTACTGGTTGTCCTTGTCTTAAATCTCTATGTTCTGATTGTATAGGAAAAGCTTTTACCTAATTACCTTCTTTTACTGGGAAGGGGAAGGAGAATATACCTCCTCAAAAAAGAGCGGACAGGACAAGTAGGAATTCCCAGAGGAGGGAACAAGAAATAGAATATTTCTACCAGGGATGAGAAGGAAGGGGGCATGAGGTCTGACTTGATGGTCCTGACTACCCCCTCAAGGATGAAAACCCAGATAAATAATGTCAAAAACTAAAAGTCAAAGAGCTTCAGGAGTTTGCCCTACTGCTAGTTCAGCATTCTGAAAGGAGACAACCTTGCAGGATAACCACACCCAGCAAAGGACTACTACAACATAATAAAATGGCAGAATTTGTATTATGAGCAGGCCAAGGATCTGTAATGGTAGGCCTCGAACTTCTCAGCTCTTGTGCAGCAGGCTCTTGTGTCCAGGTATTCCTTCATGATCTCAGTTGGGTATGTGGAAGGTTGTTGAGAGTTGTGAGGAGACATTCAGGTCACTGCAATGACCCCGGAGCAAATGCTTCAGAACAGACAGGCTAAGCCAGGACTCAGAGGATAGATGTGCCTGACACACGAAGACCTGCAATGTTATTGAGAAATAAGAAGGTAGTAAGTGAACAATGGAAGGCTATAGGTTAGGACCACTCTTAAAGAACCAGATACTAATTTAATCAGTGATAGGCTTCAGCAGCAGATAGACAATGCACCCAGTAACCAGTTTGGACTAGACATACCTGATACCATGGAAGTCAGTGAGAATTCAGGTGGCAGCACAGAGATCTGACATAGATCTGGGGCCCTCTCCCCTCTCTGCCGTGAGGACATACAAAGACCATTTTTGTGCAAAGAAAGGGGAGAAAGGGAAACACCGAAAGACCAGGATTAATCCCCAAAAAGCTACTTTAAACCTTAAGAAACCAAGGTACTTTTGTTTGCCATCTTCAAATTCTATCCAATCCTACACCCCACTCAAAAGGAATTAATTATAAATAAATAAAAAAACCTTTTTAGCTTTTGATGAGTTAAATTCAAAATGTGTCCAATTCTATAAGTCATATTTTGTTTCTATGAGACCTGAGAAGAAACTAAAATAGCCAGTATATCTCCTTATTCATAATATAAAGTGCCCTAATTACATTAGGTAATAAGAAGTAGTACGTTATATATTGGATTGTTGGGATAGTCATTATGCATGTTTTGCATAGAAAAATATGTCATGACTTTCCCTATGACCTAATAATACCTTTCCTTCCCTTTTAAATTACTATTTGAATATGTGGGAGGTTCATTCATTCATTCATTCATTCAGTGAATGTTTACTGAGTACCTGTCATAAACGAATAATGTATCAGGTATTAAGGAAACAAAGAAAAATGAGACATGGACCCTATCCCTAGTAAGTTAAAAAGGTTTGCGTGATGCGTAAGTGGAATATTTAAAGAAAAGAAAGGTTAGTGGAGTATTGTCCATTTTAAGTGCAAATAAAACACAACAGCAGCAGAAACAACTGTAAAAATGTATAATCTTTGCTCATGTATCACAAGCACACAGAAGGAATGAGACAGAGACTGACCATTATGCACAGAGCTATTAAAAAGCATTTTTATACAAAATCATCATTACAGAAAAGTCTGTGTGCAGAGTAACAACAGTGAGTCAAGTTTCAGGACACATTATTATGCAAAATCCTATTTCTTAAAGTATAGGAATAGAAGAGGAATGAAATGTAGAATAGGTCAGAAAATCTATCAGCATTACCTTTTTCAATTTGTCATGAACACTTAATATGGGCATGTAAAAGAAGTTATATAAAAACTAGTCATTATGTAGATGTTGTAGTTATCTCCATAAACAGTGCTTCATAATTTTTAAGAAACTAAATTTAAAGTCAAATAATCTTTAAGAATTATTTTATTTAATTTTATTCATTGCCATTAATTAATTAATTAATTAATTTTATTCATGTTGACCAGAGAGAGACAAAGAGAGAGAGAGAAAGAAAGTGAGAAAGGAAGCTGCTAGGTCTGGGACTTGAACCACAGTTAGCCTTGTGGGAGTCCAGCCACCTTGACCATCACGCCACCTGCTGGTCCCCTAAAAAGTCAATAACCTTATAATAAATGATCTTATTAATCTTACAATAAATAGGATAGTTTGTTGTTTAAATATGAAAATTACAGTTATTAGTTTCTTAGATTATTAAGATATTTACATTACCAGGTTTTCTTAAAGGTGGGTAAAGAAACTAAGGAGTATATGTTAATTTTCAATATGACCTTATGAACACCAAACAGAATTTTATAGCTTTTTCTAAAAAAAAATCCTACAGTACTCTGAAAATATTAATCTGTGGAAATGGTACCACAGATATTTTAAGAAAGGATTTTATTCTGGCTCTCTAACATATTATCCATTCACAGAATTTTTAATATCCTAGTTTTCTTACTTCTTCCATCATAAAGCTCATTAGATTTTAAATGCTAGAGCATAGAGAGTATACAATTTAAGAAAAACCCTTGTTTTTATCAGTTATTCTGACAAAGTTGGTATCTCAGTCATCCTAAATGTGTGTCATACACTGATTGAAAGGTGACATTGTTAGAGATTATAATTAATTCAGCAAATGGTATCTGATTAGTATTTCAAAACAATATTTTATCTTTTCCCAACCCCCTCTTTATCTTCAGAGAATGCAATCGCATTTGAAATCTATGGTTTCTGGCATATCTGGGGTAAGGTTATACTAGGAATTTACCAGACCTGTCAGTCTCTAACTTTCTTCCATATTTCATTATATCATTCCAGTTATAATTAGTTGTCTGGTAAAATTAAGAACAGTCTATTTCAGTGAATGCTCTCATGTGAACATTTAACAACTTTTTGTTAGAATGACAGCTTAGCGACAGAAAGAATAAACCAGAAAGGGAGAGTCACTGAAGTAACCTTAGTTAACTCAATATTGCCAGCTCAACTGAAAATGCTAAGATTTTGCATTTTTTTCTTTTTTGTTATTAATCATCAAGCACATATTTCTTGTCAGGAGATGAGCAGCAGTTTGATCGCATTCTTGCCTCAGCCAGCATGTTTTGAACTGACCTGTCTTCATTGCTATGGCTCCCTAGAAACTTTGCGTTGATGAGCGTTGATTCAGTTGAATGCTTTGACATTCAGCTTGTCAGTGAAAGCTATTTTAATCATTAAGATGCATCTCCCTTCCAAGCTTGCAAACTGTTGCTGCTCATACACAGCATTCTATCATCTGATTACTGTGGAGAAGAAAAGAACCTTAAAAATTACTATAACTATAGGTTGTACCATGGGCTAAAATTCAAAGAATATTTAAATCTGTGTGAGAGGGTGGTGCTTAACAATCTATAGAAAACCCTAACACCTGCACCATCTCATGGAGATGGAGCTAGAGAGTGATTCCCTGCTACTAGCTGGACATGGACACGCAAATTCCCATAGTTCAGAGAACCAAGAGGATGTTTCCCACTGTTGCAGAAACTACACTGTGTGGTTGCCAGAATTCCTTCCTTTCTCTCCTGGGCACAAAGCTAAAACTCTATTTCCTATACGTCCCTGCAGGCAGTCAGTTGAGGAAATGGGACTGACTTTTTAACACCTATTGTGAACTTCTTTGTGCACTCTCTCCCCTTATTTGTTAGCTGAAGGTAAATGAACCAGTGGAGGACACATGATTCTTAAAAATGATAGCATCATTGAATCAGGGGTTCTTAACCTGGGGACCACTTCATAAAATCTAGGAGAACCATGACCTTGGATTTGGAACAAATGTGATTGTGTATTTTCACCAATCTCCAGCTGAAGTTGTAGCATCTCTTTCAATTATGAAAGAAGGCACCATGCACAGTATATTAGCAATACTTATGACTCTTGTTACCAATTAAAAAATTTACAGGTATTTTTCCATCATATTACAACCATTGGAATATCTCAGATATCATTTATATTCAAATTTGCTTTTAAATAACAGTAATTATTAGGCCCATTAGATTTTAAAATTTTATATGCTAATAAAGAAGCACATATCATAGTGTTATAAAATATTTTAAAAAATAATTTCATAACTGTATTTCAACAAAATTGTTTTCCTTGGTAATCTCATATGATTTGTATGCTTTATAAAGACTTTTTTTTTTTCCTGAGAAGATATCCTTAGGACTCTAACAAGATTGCCATAGAGGAATATAAAACAAAAGTTAATAATGTGTACTGTATCCCTGAATAACTTCATGGAGTAGGGCTCCTCTTGTCCTCTTTGCTCCATATCCCTTACCTCACCATAGTGGTGACCCATACTGCACTATAATGTAAGAAATAAGATTTTTTTTTAGAGAGAGAATGAGATTTTTGCTATAGAGCATGTGCACTTGCCAGAGAGACAGGAAGCAAGAAATCAACCCCCACCCCAGGGGGGTGATGTCCATGCCACAATCCCTTCTCCTCTACTCTCCTCTCAGGATTTTGGACACGAATACACACACACCCAGCAAGAGTTTTAAGCCACTGGGTTCAGGACTCCAACTGCAGTTGACTACATGAGACTCTAGCGATATAACCATTATGCCATCTGCTGGTCCCATGAAATAAGATTTTATTGTGTTAAATTACTGAGATTTGGAAGTTAATTTTAGAGCAGTTAGCCTATATAAACTTTTTTTGGGGGGGAGGGGGAGAGTGGTTTTTGCTACAGGGCATGTGCGCTAGCCAGAAAGATAAAGACAAAGAGACAGAAAGCGAGAAATCACCACCCCAGGGAGGTTGGCCATGCTGCAATCCCTTCTCTTCCATTCTCCTCTTGGGATCTTGGGCACACACGCCTGGCATGAATTTAAGCCACCAGGTCTGGGACTTGAACCGCAGTCAACTACATGGGAGTCCAACTACATAGCCATTAAACCAACTGTTGGTCCCTAGAAACTATTAATAATACACAGCCTGGCTATACACTATTCACATCTGGTTAGAAAAATGCCAGATGTGAATGATGAGGACCAAAGATTAGATGGGGTCATTGAAGATGTCTTAGCAGGTATCAACCTGGAAAGAGGGTGAAGTTCAGGGGAAACATCTTAGAAAAAAAATTCAATTACAATAAAATATAAAGAAACAGTTCAGTTATTCTTGAATTTGTATACTGAGATTTATAACTGTCACAGAATAATTAATTTTCTTATTTAATATTTATCTCTCCCTCTACTAGGGTGACAATTATTTTTGTATCTCATAGCAGGTTCATGCTTTTGAATTCATCAATTTAAAACTGTGTGTGCGTGTGTGTGTGTGTGTGTGTGTGTGTTTTAGAGAAAGCTTGTATTAACTATTCTCAGGTAGATACAAATAACCAAGTATGTGATCAATATTGCATAAGTCCTTTGGTATACGAATTTGAAAATTGACTTTTTTTTGAAGGCCTGTTGACTTAAATAAAGTAGTCTTGATGGAGCCTCCTAGGTTTTCAAGACAGGTGTAAATTTGGTAACATTTCTTTCAAGGCATTAAGTTTTATCTTCCCTTTTAGACCAGTCTGCTACCTATATTTTTATTTACTTATTTATTTTTGTCTTGTACACAATTTTTTCCTATATTTTTCTTATTACATTTCATCACTGTATATCTTTTACTGCCTTTATTTTAACATTAGACCAAATCACTCTCTCATTGTGAAATGTTCACATTATTAAGTCAAATGCAAGACTCCTCTGATGATAGACTCTTTCAAATCTCCAAGGACTTACTGTATTAAATTTTTATAACCTATGGACATTTAAGTGAATGAAAATAAAATGAAGTTAGTGTGCCAAATAGTTTGGATTTCAACGTTAAAATGCATAAAAATATAGTATATTTATTCTTAAATGTTATCCAACATAAACATCAGCCTGTCCTGATCAATGTTGTACACCAAGCTTCAAGCCTGGCAAATAAAAACTTGTATATATGAGTAACTAACCAAATACATGCAGTGGACATCACTCATGTTTGGACTTTGCCATAAGAAAGTCATTACCTTTTATATCTATAAGGGCAAAGTGACTACGTTAAGATGTTAAAGCTTCTAAATTGCCAGTAGCTCACTGAACCTTGAATATTTTCAGGTGTTATCAAGCTTTTTTGATGGCAGAAATACTTTGGTATAATATGATTACAACTGAGTCTGTTCTTAAGATAGTCTTTTAAAATTATTTTATGGGACAGCCTCATAGCCTAGTGGTTAAGGGAGCCAGATCCCACATGACCAACCATGTGAGTGCATGTGCCCTATGGCAAAAACCTAAGTAGTAATAATAATAATAAAGTCATACACATGTTTTATTAGAATTAGGATCTAGGGACTAGCAGTTAGCATAATGGCTATGTCGCTGGACTCCCACGTAGTCGACCGCGGTTCAAGTCCTGGACCCGGTGGCTTGAAACTCATACTGGGTGCGTGTGCGTGCGTGCCCAAGATCCTGAGAGGAGAATGGAGGAGAAGGGATTGCGGCGTGGCCATCCCCCCTGGGGGGTGATTTCTCGCTTTCTGTCTCTCTGTCTCTTTGGCGAGCACACGCGCCCTACAGTGAAAACCTCCAGAGATGGAGACAGAGAGAGGGAAAGTGAGAAGTCACCCCTCAAAGGAGATGGCCACACTAAAATCCCTTCTCCTCCATTCTCATTGAGACATTTTGGGCATGCACAAAGAGACAGAGAGACAGAAAGCGAGAAATAACCCCCCCCCCCGGGGGGAGGCCTGGTTAGAAAAATGCCAGATGTGAATGATGAGGACCAAAGATTAGATGGGGTCATTGAAGATGTCTTAGCAGGTATCAACCTGGAAAGAGGGTGAAGTTCAGGGGAAACATCTTAGAAAAAAAATTCAATTACAATAAAATATAAAGAAACAGTTCAGTTATTCTTGAATTTGTATACTGAGATTTATAACTGTCACAGAATAATTAATTTTCTTATTTAATATTTATCTCTCCCTCTACTAGGGTGACAATTATTTTTGTATCTCATAGCAGGTTCATGCTTTTGAATTCATCAATTTAAAACTGTGTGTGCGTGTGTGTGTGTGTGTGTGTGTGTGTTTTAGAGTAAGCTTGTATTAACTATTCTCAGGTAGATACAAATAACCAAGTATGTGATCAATATTGCATAAGTCCTTTGGTATACGAATTTGAAAATTGACTTTTTTTTGAAGGCCTGTTGACTTAAATAAAGTAGTCTTGATGGAGCCTCCTAGGTTTTCAAGACAGGTGTAAATTTGGTAACATTTCTTTCAAGGCATTAAGTTTTATCTTCCCTTTTAGACCAGTCTGCTACCTATATTTTTATTTACTTATTTATTTTTGTCTTGTACACAATTTTTTCCTATATTTTTCTTATTACATTTCATCACTGTATATCTTTTACTGCCTTTATTTTAACATTAGACCAAATCACTCTCTCATTGTGAAATGTTCACATTATTAAGTCAAATGCAAGACTCCTCTGATGATAGACTCTTTCAAATCTCCAAGGACTTACTGTATTAAATTTTTATAACCTATGGACATTTAAGTGAATGAAAATAAAATGAAGTTAGTGTGCCAAATAGTTTGGATTTCAACGTTAAAATGCATAAAAATATAGTATATTTATTCTTAAATGTTATCCAACATAAACATCAGCCTGTCCTGATCAATGTTGTACACCAAGCTTCAAGCCTGGCAAATAAAAACTTGTATATATGAGTAACTAACCAAATACATGCAGTGGACATCACTCATGTTTGGACTTTGCCATAAGAAAGTCATTACCTTTTATATCTATAAGGGCAAAGTGACTACGTTAAGATGTTAAAGCTTCTAAATTGCCAGTAGCTCACTGAACCTTGAATATTTTCAGGTGTTATCAAGCTTTTTTGATGGCAGAAATACTTTGGTATAATATGATTACAACTGAGTCTGTTCTTAAGATAGTCTTTTAAAATTATTTTATGGGACAGCCTCATAGCCTAGTGGTTAAGGGAGCCAGATCCCACATGACCAACCATGTGAGTGCATGTGCCCTATGGCAAAAACCTAAGTAGTAATAATAATAATAAAGTCATACACATGTTTTATTAGAATTAGGATCTAGGGACTAGCAGTTAGCATAATGGCTATGTCGCTGGACTCCCACGTAGTCGACCGCGGTTCAAGTCCTGGACCCGGTGGCTTGAAACTCATACTGGGTGCGTGTGCGTGCGTGCCCAAGATCCTGAGAGGAGAATGGAGGAGAAGGGATTGCGGCGTGGCCATCCCCCCTGGGGGGTGATTTCTCGCTTTCTGTCTCTCTGTCTCTTTGGCGAGCACACGCGCCCTACAGTGAAAACCTCCAGAGATGGAGACAGAGAGAGGGAAAGTGAGAAGTCACCCCTCAAAGGAGATGGCCACACTAAAATCCCTTCTCCTCCATTCTCATTGAGACATTTTGGGCATGCACAAAGAGACAGAGAGACAGAAAGCGAGAAATAACCCCCCCCCCGGGGGGATGGCCACGCCGCAATCCCTTCTCCCCCATTCTCCTCTTGGGATCTTGGGCACGCACGCACATGTGCCCGGTGTGAGTTGTAAGCCACAGGGTCCGGGACTTGAACTGCGGTCAACTACATTGGAGTCCAGTGACACAGCCATTACGCTAACTGCTGGTCCTACTAGACCCATTTTTCAAGTTGTAAAATGGTGATATAATTCTATTATTCTTTCTCATTTATTAACTGGAATTCTGTAAAGACATGCCTTTTATCAACTAGGGTTACCCTAAAATACAACTCTTACCAAAAAACAAACAAATGCCTGTTTCTTTTACTTAATTTAAGGAATTTTAATCTGGTCTCCCCCAAACCCTCCTCATGGTCACCAGGTGGTCTTCACTGTGTAACCTAGCAAGGTTAGAATGGGATGGGATAGGGCTGACTGGGTAGGACAAGGTATGGTGCGGGGACTTGGGAGAGGGAGGGACTGGATTTGGGAAGAGAAGATACCTCAAGCAGGCTCTATGAAGTGGAATCCGAGTCTTCAGAGCAGTCCTGGACATCGGTGCTCTCCATGGATTCACTGGGCTCCTTGCTGTCACTGCCACTATCATCCACAGCCGGATTCTCCCGCTGACATACGTCTTTGGAACCAGGGAGTCTGCTGCCTGGGGTCTCCTGGTTCTCCCTGGAGCCCAACACCTCATACCTGCCCTGATCCTTCAGCTCCAACTTCCGTCTCAGCTCATCTGCCATCTCTGAGAGATCCCGCTTCATAGCATAGGCATCTTCCCCGTCTGCGTAGTATTTGGGTTCCACCTCACTAACCTGAAAGTTAAGGGTGTTAGAATAGAGGTGCAGGGCTGCCCGGTTACTCTTCCTGACATGCAGGGACACATATTTGGCACTGAAGTTCTCTATCATGGCCCGGGAGGCCTGGTCCATCAGCTTCTGAGCCAGGCCAAGACGCCGGTGTGAACGCTTCACCGCCAGCGAGGTGATATGGCCATGCGGGACATCATCGGGATCCTCCTCCATTTTGGCCAGGACGTAGCCCACGATCTTCCCGTCCTCGTCCTCGGCGATGTAGGAGAGCTGGGGCCAGGAAAGGCCATGGTAGAAATAGTATTTCATCTGGTAGTTCTCGGGAAGGCAGAGCAGGTTGCAGTGCTGCATGTTCATCAGGTCCTCCGGCCGAGCATTGCGGATGTTCATGCTGGCGGTGGGCGGAGAGCTCGTCCGACGGCGGAACCGGGAACGAGCGAAATCGCTGCCTGCGAAGCTGGAGTCCACTTGGTCCACAGCCGGATTCTCCCGCTGACATACGTCTTTGGAACCAGGGAGCCTGCTGCCTGGGGTCTCCTGGTTCTCCCTGGAGCCCAACACCTCATACCTGCCCTGATCCTTCAGCTCAAACTTCCGTCTCAGCTCATCTGCCATCTCTGAGAGATCCCGCTTCATAGCATAGGCATCTTCCCCGTCTGCGTAGTATTTGGGTTCCACCTCACTAACCTGAAAGTTAAGGGTGTTAGAATAGAGGTGCAGGGCTGCCCGGTTACTCTTCCTGACATGCAGGGACACATATTTGGCACTGAAGTTCTCTATCATGGCCCGGGAGGCCTGGTCCATCAGCTTCTGAGCCAGGCCAAGACGCCGGTGTGAACGCTTCACCGCCAGCGAGGTGATATGGCCATGCGGGACATCATCGGGATCCTCCTCCATTTTGGCCAGGACGTAGCCCACGATCTTCCCGTCCTCGTCCTCGGCGATGTAGGAGAGCTGGGGCCAGGAAAGGCCATGGTAGAAATAGTATTTCATCTGGTAGTTCTCGGGAAGGCAGAGCAGGTTGCAGTGCTGCATGTTCATCAGGTCCTCCGGCCGAGCATTGCGGATGTTCATGCTGGCGGTGGGCGGAGAGCTCGTCCGACGGCGGAACCGGGAACGAGCGAAATCGCTGCCTGCGAAGCTGGAGTCCACTTGGCCGAAGCAGCCACCAGCGGTGTGGAGGCAGGATGGCGGGAAGGTGGGATGAGGGGAGGCGGAAGGGGCGGTGCTAGCACACGGCTTCCGGAAGTGCGCTGCTGACCCCAGCCAATGAGGTTTTCACTTCACTGTGCATGTGCAAGCACAAGGGCTAGGTCCCGGAGAGCGTTCCTTCTGAGCACCTTAGTTTTGAGTACAGTGTTTACCCATTTCTGTCATTCTTTTATTTCAGTTTTAACTTTAATTTAGGCAATCTCAATACATTTTAACCAATGGATCGAACTTGTATAGCCAGATCTTAGCTCAAGAACCAAAACATTGCCTGCACCCCAGAAATCCCCTCCTGCGCCCTTCTAGCACTTCCGACATCACCTACAATTCTAACAGAGTTTGCATAGATGAAATCATACTGCATGCATTATTTTTATAGGGCTCTTTTTCACTCACTATTTGTGTTTTAGCCACCTTGTTGTGTATAGTTGAAGGTTCTCTATTTTCTTTCCGGTTTGATATTCCATTGCCTACACATATCTCTTCATTTATTCTGCTGTTGATGGCTATTTGTGTTATTTCCAGACTGAGAATAGTCTGAATATCTGGATGATCTAGAACATGTCTTTTGCTGACACATAGGCGGTTATACCTAAGATTAGAGTTACTCGATCAGAGAATATAATGATCAATTTCCGTAAATATTGCTAAACAGTTTTCCAAGGTGGTTGCTATATATTCTCTACATTTGATATTTCCGCATCATTTTTGTTTTAGTTACTCTTGTGTGTGGATCGAAGTATTATATTGTTGTTTTATTTTGCATTTCCTTAATGACTAGTGAAGTTGAGCATTTTTCATGCTTATTAGCTCTCTTGTGTCCTCTTTGGCTGCTCAAGTCTTATGCTTATTTTTGTTTTGACTTGTGTGTCTCTTTTTTTTCCCAATTTTTTAATGCCAGAGACCATGTGCATGTATGAGAGAAACAGAGAGAACACCCCCAACAGTGCCTAGTCACGCCAGAGCCCTTTTTCCTCCATTTAATTACAGAAGAATCCTGAGCCAGACCAGATTTACACTGGGACAGGGACTCAAATCTATGTCGCCCATACGGGATCTGGATTCCTAGGTTCAGTGCTTAACAGTTGTGCTATAGAACCAGCCCTTTCACTTTTAAGAGTTCTTTTTCAAAAATATGAAGGAGTTTTTAAAAATTCATCTATTATAAAAAAAAAACTATGTGTAGATTTCAAATTTTTTTGCACCAAAGTAAACTTGTATTTTAATTACATTTTCCATGAACTTTTTGAAGACCCCCTCATACATACCATATATGAATCCTTTGTCAAATATATTTGTAATTAATATCATCTGCTTCTATTGATTGACTTTTTTCTCTCTCAATGGTTATCTTAGACGACATGTATGAATTTTAACATAGTCTAATTTGTCTAGTTTTAAAATTTTACAGGTAGTGCTCTTTGTCCTGTCTAGGGTATTTGTACTTACTCCATGGATACAGTGATGTTTACGTTTTATTCTGAATCCATTATTGTTTTATATTTTATTTTTAGATTTGAAATCCATTGGGATTTATCTTTGTGTTTATTGTGAGGTAGTAGTTCAGTTATTTTTTTTCCAGCATGGATATACAATTTATTTAGCATTATTTATTGAAAAAAATAGTAATTATCCTTTATCTACTACACTGTATTGTTACTTTTGTCACAAATACTAAGTTCTATTTCTAGATATATTTTTAAAATTTATGCCAATTTGGTGAAGCAAGATTTGAGGTATTTAAATAGTAGGGAAGTCATTTTTTATTAGCACTGCTCGCACATAAGGCCACTGTAATTGTAGAATTATCTATGTATCTTGTACAGTCTTCCTACTCAGTTTTCTGGCAGACCTAGGTATGCAAACACCAAAGTTTATTCTGTGGTAAATATATAATTATGCAGGTCCTGGATACATTCCAAGTCATCTATTTTATGTGTAGAGCATTCTTCCCATTAGAAGATACACACTCCTTTAATGGCTATAGTAGTCTAGAGCCATGAGATTTGTGAAACGTGGTTTGGATAACCACTATTTTTTGTTGTGATTTAATTGGCTGTGTTTTATTAACATGTTTTTAAAATTTAAGATAAGCATTTTAGTTCCTTTATGCCTTGATAGACTCTACATTGGAAAAGATATTTCTCAGAATTATTCCCACTCACAAATTTCTCTTATTCTCAAAGGACAAGGCTATATGCTTTGAGATGATAGAGCTATAAATGCATATTCCAGAACAGACATTTTGTTGATTCTCTTTTAATAGGTTCTTATTTAAAAACATGCACTACCCAAACTTGAGTAGACTATGTTCTTTGATAAGGACATTTAAAATGTTGTTCAGGCTGGGCTGGCCCTGTTACCCAGTGGTTAAGGGAATCAGATCCCACATAGCTGATTGCAGTGCAAATCCTGGTCTGTTGGCTTGAAAAACAGTCAGGCATTGCCTAGGCCCCAAATCCCAAAAGAATAGAGAAATGAAGGAGACAGGATTATTATATTACACCCCCGTGTTGGGGGTGATTTCTTCCTCTTTCTTTCTAGCTCTCTCTGGCAATTGTACATGCCCTCTGGCAACTGAAAAAAAAACAGTAGTAAAAAAAATGCAGCAGAGGTTAATGACAGATACCGTACCCTACCATATAAATCATTGCTAGTACAATGCTCAGGAACAGTAGTACCAGTAGTTGGGCAGTATACTTGATTTATTCCAGAGTGGGCAGGGTACCAAAACCAACTGTAGCAAGCATGGTGTTTTATACACAATTAATGTAATCTATATACATGTAAACACAGGGAATAAGATAACATCTCCACTGTCAAGGAAAAAGGGTGTATCAGATTCAATGAACAGGCAGCTAAGATGAAAAAAATGCAGCAACTTGTTTTACTCTGACAAATCCTTCTTTCTTGACAGAATTGCCTTCATATTCTGTTTGTGTTTGCATGTTCATTTTAACCACAGTAAAAAGTCTGGATCCAAGATTAAAGGCTCTCACAGGTGTGGTTGGTAATAAGACTTGATTTTTACCCTTACTGAGATCAAATACAGATTTTATCTGATGAGTGATAATATGTTGGGACCAGCAGATGGTGTAATGGTTATGTCTCTGGACTCCCACATGGACGACCACTGTTCAAGTCTGAGACCCAATATCTTGAAATTCATTCTGGGCACGAGTACATGCTTGCCAAGCTCCCAGGAGGAGAATGAAGAAGGGACTGCAGTATGACCATCCCCCCAAGGGTGTGATTTATTACTTTCCCTCTCACTGTCTCTGTCTCTCTAGCAAATACAAGTGCCCTGAGGCAAACACCTCAAAATAAATAAATAAAAATAAACCTAATATTTAACAAATGCTCCTGATAATGATAGTGTCCCTTGAGTCTTTACTGGACTTCCTAAAATATAGGCTTGATAAATGAAAAAGGGGTGGTAAAATGAACCAGTTTAGAATTAGAAGCATATCCATATTTATCTATTACTATGCTGTCATGTCTTTTTCCTGCCTTTCTCATTCCATGGGCCATGAAACAAATGAATATTCTTGGACAATACAGATTTGAGAAGAGGTGCTGTATTAAGCAGCAAGTCTTTCTGTGTTTATTTGATCCTGTTTACTCCTGAATCTGAGGCCTAATTTTAGAGTAAGACAAAAACAGAAAGGGGTTTCAGAGACAAGTAGTTGAACCCAGAAAGTGAAAATGACAGTTACTTCAGCTGTAGTAAGAGCCAAAGCATTTCCATACCATGGGTGTTTGGAAATTAGTGCAGTTTATAACAGCTATATTTATAAATGTGTATTTATATTTATAGTCATCTGACATATCAAAGATCATCAATGAAGGGAAAAATAAAAGTTTTCTATGCCTACTGAGGTGATAAACTCTCATTGTTTCCTTCATTATCTGTAATTGTAAATAACCAAAGCTTATAAATTTGTTCATGTCGGTAAGCAAAGACTTCCTACAATATTCTACATAAATGTGAGGTCATAATTTTGGGGAAACTATTTTTATGTTAACATTGAGTTCAAACAGTTGGAACTGACTATAAGACCATCAGGAAACTCCCCTTGCATTGAAATGGGGACAAAGAAGCTAGTTTCAATATAAGCCAAGGGTTGGCCCAGCCATGGTGGTATAATGGTAATGCAGTACCCTGTGAGGCTGGAGACCACATGGCTGACCATGTATTTTGATTCCTGCGTTGGCCTGAAAACACACTGGGCACATGCACGTGGACTCCCAGGGTCCTGAAGAGCAGAAGGGCTGAGGAAAGGGAATCATGGTATGACAAGATCCTCATGAAGGGTGCCTCCCTCTCTCTCTTTCTCTCACATAAACATGCACATATTCTCTGTTTATCTGTATGTGCCAAGGACAAACAGAGACTAAGATAATTGTGTACTTGATCAGGCTACCACTAAAAGTGATCGTATCTCTAGGAATGCTGTGACCATGTTGGGTACAGCTGTAGTAAGGGAGGTGCTTAAGACTAAAGTAGAAGTCTATCAGAAAAGGACTGCGTGCCAGCAGACAAGGGGATAGGTCAGCCTGATTGAGGTGGGGAAGAACTGACTCTTAATAAGCAATAGGTCATTCCTTCCTTCATGAATCTGGTCACATCTAAAACAGCTTCTTTTTCCTCATAGCAAAAGATATATAGGCCACATGAATATCAAGAAGACTTAATGCTGGGGTTCTCTACAAGAACCTTCACAACGTTCTTTGAAAAAGAAAAAAACATAAAAAGAGCCCTCTCTGGCTTCTTGAGCCAAAGGTCATGGCTCTGAGATGTTAATTTAAATTGGATGCAGTAAAAGTTTTAGGTTCAAAGCATATTCAGAATGCTGTGTCAGCAGTAATTGGCCATACCGAAGAGGGTGGACATTTGTGGAATTTGGGTGGGCCTTGGAACCTTGAGACTGGTTTTTATCCTACAAGAGGACCTCACTCCAGTAAATAAATATTTATTATCCTAAGTA